CAGGAGGAAGTGCCGACCCGGTGGGGGAGGGGGAGGGGGCGTTAAGTAGCACCAGAAAGGACTGCATTGCGTTCTGATAGAGGGGTGTTTGCAGTGAGCTCTGGGGGTCAGAGAGATGCGCCCCCAAAGGGAGACATGTGACGTGAGACGGAAGGACGAAAGGGAGGGTGGCGGGTGCACTGGTGGAGGCGTCAGTGATGTGGGCAAAGGAGAGGCCAGCGTTTAATCAGAACAAATGGGAGGTTTCACGTTTAAGTGTTTTTTTAAGTCAGTCACAGGGAAGTAGAGACACAAGAAAACCCTGACCAAACGAAGCGCGTGTGGGAGGAGCAGGCCCGCCTCCCTGGCTGCAAGGTCAGGGGCGCAGAGACTGCCCCTGGAGTAGGGGAAGCTGGAGTAACCATGGCCGGCCACAGCAGGGGAGCGGAGGGCCGCGACCCCAGGCCTCCGGGTGCAGCCCGGACTCCTCCCCAGCCTGGCCTGTCTCTGGGTCTTCCCACCGCCTTCACTCCGTGCGGTCACACTGCCAGTGCTCAGAAAGTCCCTTTTGGTGGCTGCTCTGCAGACACCTTCCTCCCTCAACTCGGTCAAGTGCTTGCTTCCTCGGCCTTTCCTGACCTGCAGTCCTCGGACCCCTGATCCCCTGACCCCGATCCCCACGGCCCCCTGGTCCCAAGGAGAACCACTCCCTGTCTCCTCGTGTCCCCACCGAGCTCCTGCCCAGCGCCTACCAGCCCCTCAGCCCTGCACCTCTGGCTGCCGGGCTCACGCTGTGCTTCGAGGGGCTTGGAGGACCCCTGGTGTCTGCAGAGCACCGGCCTGGACAGTAGGTATCCACGACAGTCCGTTGGCCTAACAGATTAGTAAGAGAACGTTCCACTGTGTTCTGGGCACCCTGAGCGCACAGTCTGTTTCCGACTCGGAGGCACCCTGGGGTGGTGTTCGGACCCGATTCCGACGGCGCAGGCCCGCGGTGGGGCCCCAGCTCCTGTCCTGGCATGGGCTCTCGGGCGACGCTGCAACTTCCTCTGAGCCCCTGCACAGCACCGCGGCACCGCGGGGCCGGCCAAAGGGCACTGTGGGGGGAGGCGGGGGGCCTTCCAGGCCGGGTCAGGGTCCAGCCCAGGTGTGTCCACCTGGTGGCCCAAGGCCCAGGCGTCCCCCGCAGTCACCCAGGACCCACTGCTCATTCCTCATGGCAGGTGGCACGGTCAGCCCGGCGGTCAGCACCCATGGCAGGGTCAGCGGGGCCTCGACTTCCCTGAGGGGGAGACGTCCCCCCAAGGGCAAGAATGAGGATTGCTGGCAGAAGTCACCCCCGTGCTGTGCTTTGGGTGGTGGGCGTTGGCACCCGGGAGGGCTCTGCCTGGCAGGAGCTGCCCTCGTCGTGGGGAGGCCTCTCGGCTCCGACTCACCCTCTGCCAGGCCCTGTTCCATCTCCGTCCAGTGCGCTTCCCCCTGTGGCCGGCCGGCCATCCCTCCCTCCCTCCCTCCAGCGGCGGCCGTTTGGGTGGTGGGGGGCGGCTGGCCTTGCTGGCGTGTGGAGGAGGCCTTCACACCGATGCCCTTCCATCCTGAAACAGGAGGGGCTCCTTCCCTGCCCGTGGTCCCCGTGCCCTTTCCTTTCAGCCGACCCGAGCGAGAGCCTTTCTCCACGTGCTTTGCCGCGCGAGAACTTCTCAGAATGCCCGGTTCAAGGGGCAACAATATACGCGTACCCACAACCCGGTGCCGCTGCCTGGTTGCTTGGTGCAGGCTTGTTTGTCGGGCGTGTCCCACACAGCTCACTGGTGTGCCTCCCCTCCCAGGGCCGCCGACGTGCGCCGGGGCGGCTCTGGGTTTGGCTCGGTGCCCAGAGTCACTTCTCGGCCCGGCCTCGTGCTCCTGAAACATCCGTTCCAGCTCCTCCCGACAGAGCGGCCTGCAGGTGCAGGTCATCCGGGGCGGCGGGCAGGCTTCGTCCGTATGTGACGACTCCCGCCGCCCTGTCAGCAAACAGTGTGCATGCCTCTTCTGCTTCGGGCCTCACACAGGGGGTTGAACTCAGCACCCATGCGATGGAGCAGCTCCTGTTTCTGGGCAGGGCAGCTCGGAGGTGGAGAACGGGCACTTGGGACCTCGTGGCTTCGGGCCGGGAACCTTGGTCTGCTGAGAACTTTCTGCTTTCTGGAAAGTGTGTGACGGGAGCAGAGAAGGGAGCCACGGCTGGTCTCAGAGCACAAAAGACAGCCGCGTTTTTAGACTTAGAAGCAGTGACTTGAACTCCAGGTGGAGCTGGAGTGAAGAGAGTGTGGGGACCAGCTCCTTTTCAGCGGTGACTTTCGGAGCCGGGAGCATTTATTTCCCTGCTCCTGCCGGGCAAGCTCCTCCGGCTGCGTTTTGCAGAGAGAACCACAACATCCTGGTCCTGGCTTTTATTCTCTTTCTGAACTCCCAGACAACTTTCTTTCCCACAAACACAGCTGCATCCGGTGGTACTGGCCTCGCCTAAAGCCCCAAGGACACCCACGTTCCCCCGTGTCGTGGCAGGTTCTGGCCCGTCTCACAGCATGGCCTACGCTGCGTTTGGACAAGTGTGGGAGAGTGTGGGAGCTGGTTCAGTGGAGTGGGGGGACAGCCCTGAGGTGGGGCTGGGAGGTGTGGGGTGTGCTTGGTGGGTGCTGTCGATGGGACCCAGTAGCAGACTGAAGGTGGGAGGGGCCCGGAGGCAGCCACAGGTCCCTGGAGGTCTGGGTCTCGGTAGGGGGCCTGGGGGTGGTCCTGAGATGGGGAGGCAGGGTCAGAGCACTGGCCAGTTCGGTTGTCTGCAAGCGTCTGCATTTTGTCAAATGTTAAAGTGAGCCGGCCAAGCCCTCCAGAGGGAGAGGCCCTGGGGGTAAGCACCTTCTGGGACAGCCTGGGGGACTCTGCTCTGCGCCGTCCTGCCCTCCACCCGCGGCTCTGGGCCTGCGGAGCCTGATGCACTGCCAGGCCGGGGAGACCCTGCGTCCCTTGTCCTTCCGTTAGGGTGTGTTCAGAACCCTGCTGCCCGAGGTGCGTGCTCACCTCCAGGTCTGACGACGAAAGCCGTCTTTGTGAGAGTGTGGTGCTTCAGAAGGCCCTGCTTCCCTCCCCTTCCCCCCAGCCACGGGGCCCTCGCTTAATGCTGCTCTGATCCTAGCCGTTGGGTTGGCCAAAAAGTTTGTTTGGTTTCGTTTTCCCATATGATGGCTCTAGTCGCACTTAGCTGTCTTTGACTTAATTCGAAACAATTTTGTTAGATTCTATTGTGACAGCTGTCATATCAGCGTGCATTTAAAAAAACATATCAAAATTGGTGTAGCCATTTCAATATTGAAGGTGGAAGAAAATAAGCAACATTTTTGGCATATTATGCTTTATTAAAATTTCAAGAAAGATAAAAACATAACTGAAATGCAAAATAAAAATTTGTGCGGAGTGTGGAGAAGGTGCTGTGACTGATCGAACGTGTCAAAAGTGGTTTGAGAAGTTTCATGCTGGAGATTTCTCGCTGGACGAGGTTCCACGGTCGGGCGGACCAGCTGAAGCTGACAGCGATCACACTGAGACATTGAGAACAATCACCAGGAGAGAGCTGACAGGGTCAAAATACCCACACCAATGAAGTTATTGGTGAGCGTGAAACACGTGCCTTTTGTTTTACGGAAAAACCACGCGGACTTTCTGGCCCACCCAGCAAGACCTCACGCCCGTGGCTTGGCCTCGTCGGCGACCCGGACGGAGAGGCCCTTGCCAGGCCTCGGGGGCACAGCTGTGCGGGAGGGAGGCTCCGGTGGGTTTCCTTCCTTCCTGCGCGCCCCGCTCCGCGCCGGGCACAGCTGGAGGAGCGGCCTCCTTCCGGGCAGCGGTTCACCCTCACCCGCTGCCTCGGAGTCACCTGGAGGAGCCCGCGAAGCCCGGGCCACGCTCAGCCTCAGCAGAGCAGAACGGAGGGGCGGGGCAAGCAAGGAGGCTGGTTGCCTCGCTCTCCCACCAGGCCTGTGCACCTGCGGCTCGGAGGGGCGGCGGGGGGGGGGGGGGGGACCCCAGGCCCCAGGTGCTGGTGCTGAAACCGAACTGGCCCAAGAAGCCAGGTCCTGCCTGAGCTGCTGCCCCAGGACGGCCAGGCCCCTGAGGCCGCAGCCAGGCCCCCTCCCAGCCGCTGAGAGAGCCCCTCCCTGTAAGGAGTGGGAGACGAACGCCCAGTCTCTTTCTGTCCTCAGACGGGAGTTGGGGGGGTGGCCTTCTGTGGGTTGTTGCCGCTTTGCGGGGGAAGAGCTGACGGAGGAGTCGCTAACAGGTTCCAGCTGGGGCAATAATGCAGTCAGTCGGTTGTGATTTCCTGCCTGCTGTGAATGGGAGAGTCCCCATGCGGATGGTGGCCAGCCAGGGAGTGTCCGCTCTGCCCAGAGCCGGGGGAGGGAGGTCCAGGGGCCGTCCTCAGCCCGGGAAAGCACTGCAGGTCTCGGAGAACACCCCGGCACTTGTCTGGAAAGGGGACGGGCTGGGAGTTCCTCCTCAGGTTGGGCCGCTGTTTGGCCAGCACACTTCATGATTGTCAGGTTCCTGTTGTAACCGTTAGTAATCAGGGTGCAGAAAACCAGTCCGTGCTTTTTAAAGAGTCATTTGGAACATGAGTGTTTTAATGAGTCACAAGTTGGGGGAGATTTCGTCCTCCACCTGATGCTCTTTGCAGGAAAGAAGTCGGCACTGTTCCCCTGCTTCTGGGTTTAATGAGGTTTTCCTGTGAGAGCCCCAAAGAAGCCAATTTTGCTTTAAGGGGATAAACCCCCAGGCAGGGCAGGCAAAGAGGAGCCAGAGAGCTGAGCTGGTCCAGCCCAGGCCAGCGGGCTGGACCCCGCCCCCAACCACAGCCGGTCCGGGAGCCAGCCTGCCTGTTTGCTGCGCAAGCCCCCTGTGGAGGGTGGGAGCCCGCCCACCCCTGAGGTGCCGCCACTTGGGCTTGCCGGGCTCACCCGTGTCCTGTGTTCTCTCAACAGCAAATGAAGCTTGTGGCCGAGAACCTGAAGGAGGACGGGCAGGACGGAGGCAAGAAGGCGACGGCGACCTGAGCGCCGGCAGAGGGGGCCCCGGCACGGCGTTGCGGCTCCGGCCCAGACCCGGGGCTCGGCCACACGGAGCAGCTCCCCCACGGCAGGCGGCAGGCGGCCGGCAGCCAGGCCCCTGCTCCCGGCTGTTCCCCACCCCCACCCTGCCCCAGCCCCACACTCCACTCCACACGCCTGGCCTTGCTCCAGAGCCACCGCTGCCCTCCTGAGCGTCTCGGGTGGGCGGTGCCCCTCACGGTGACAGGTGACAGTCACACCCACACCCGGCGCAGCCCAGGGACCCATGGAGTAGGGTGGCGGGCTGGGGTGTGAGCTGTTCTGAAGGGTGAAGGGTTCACACAGGGCAGCGTTTGCAATGCCCAACGACTCTGCCTCATTCCTGGTTCTACTCTGCAGTAAGTTATGGCACTCTGTCAGCAGAAGCAGCAGTAACTGAGCTATTAAAGGCAGCACGCTCTTGTCCGACTCTTATTTCCGTGCGTGGACGGAGAGGGCCCGCTGGGTCCTGGGCTCGGGGAGTTCACTGGTGGTGGTGGAGCCTGAGGCGCGGAGCTGAGCGTGGGGCCGGCCCCCCCCCCCCGGTGCTCCTCCCAAAGCCTGCAGTTGGAGCTCGGGCAGTCCTCGGGGGGCTGTACTGCCCCTGGAGCTGGCCCCTCGAGCTGCTTCCACGCACAGGGAAGCCAGCCAAGGGCCAGCTGCCACACCTGGCACCAGGTGTGGGCTGAACCTGCAGGGGGGGGCCGGTCTTGGCCAGGGGTGCTGTCCCCTCCCTAGCTGTGCCCGCGGGGCTGTGCCTCCTCACAGGCACAGCAGCCGTGCGAGCCCCCGGGTACGGCCCTGCAGGCACCAGGCAGCGACTGGAGCTGGGCTGCTCGCCCCGTGGCCGAGTCCTGAGGACCACCTGCCAGGGCAGGGCCCGGCTCCCTCCTCCTGCCCCCTGTCCCACCTCCGCCCCGTGAAGCAGCCAGCCCTTCCCCCAGGGCCCACGTCCTTCACAGCTGGGACACCGCGGACGGCGGGCACTTCTGCTCCGAAAGCGGTGGGCGCCTCAGCCACCCGGGGAGGACGGGACGAGCAGGGAGGGACTGAGGGGCCTCAGGTTCAGCCCTGTCCCCTTCCCTCAGCAGCCCAGCCCCCGGCCTCCCTGCGCATCAAGATGGGGGTCGCTTTGGCGGCCCTTTCGGGCATCACGTTTCTGGGAGCCGCAGCTGGCCGTTCATCTGCCACTCCTGGCTGGTCCGTTGGCCCTGCCGACCACTGCGCTGGCCAGCACACCCTGGCCCTGCTGGGCGCGAGGCACTCTGCGGCACACGTGCACATTCAATGGTTGATCCAGCCTCAACCAGTGCTTTCCAGAACGTGCTCTCGCTCGAAACACCAGTGGACGGTCGCCGCCCCTGGGGTCCTGCCCCTGCGCTGCCTCCCAGCCCCAGCCCTGGAGCCTGTGTTCTGGGGGCCTGGGGGCCCAGTCCTGTCCGTGTCCCCTGGTCACATGAATGCAGTCCGTGTGAGGCGAACCCATCCACTCGTCTCCTTGCCCGGGGGCTCACAGCTGCCTCGGGGCCGGCAGCCTCTCCCAGGTGGCCCTCTGCGCCCCTGAGGTGCCGGCACAGAGCCCGGGCTCCCTGCGCTTGTGACTCGTTCCCAGAAGCTTCCCTCTGCCCTTCCTGAGCCTGGCCAGGCAGAGCCATAGACTTAACCAGCACGAGGCCAGTCACGCGGAGGGGACGGGGACCCCTGGGGGCAGCAGGGACACCCAGGGACCACCTCTACGGGGGGCAGCCTGGGGCCCCAAGAAGGAGGAGGGTGGGTGTGGGGTGGTCAGGCTGGGCCAAGAGGGAGGTTAGCAGGAAGGGAGTGCTACATGGGTCCCTTAGGCCCCCAGTTCTCCCCGGTGTCCCAGCACTCGGCGTGGGCGGCATCCAGCTGGTGGCAGGGGCTCAGAAGCGGCAGTGGGAGGAACAGCTCCATACCTTGCAGTTCTTACCATCTTGACGGAACTGGGGGAGACATCCAGGATGATGCCACCTCCCCCCACCACCCATACCCTAGCCCTGGCCTCACGCATGTGAGGAGGGTGCTGTCCTCACGTTATCAGTGTGTGGGCCTCCTGTGACCAACTGGAAAACGGGGCAGGGCTTGTGGCCCAGGCGTTGCTGGCAGGTGGCTCACAGAAATCCCAGCCTTGCTTTCTCAGTGCTGTGGACTTCCTCGGGGGGCGGGGACAACAGCCCCAGCCCTCCCGGTCACAGGATTCTGCCAGCCCATTGCCATCCCCTGTTTACACCCTAGAGCTGAGGCCCAGGCAGGAGGATGCTGAAGGGGCGGAGCTGGGCAAGTCTACGCCTACTGACCCTGTTTTGGGGGTACCCCGCCCCCCACAAAGCTCTAAAAGCCCCAGGCTGCAGGGCCAGCCCAGGTGGGAGGAGCTTGCAGGCCAGCCCAGGTGGGAGGAGCTTGTGGGCCAGCCCAGGTGAGAGGAGCTTGCAGGCCAGCCCAGGTGGGAGGAGCTTGCAGCCGAGCCCTCACACTGCAGTGATGCTTGTACCAGGAAGACACTGAGGAGCGCTCAGTAATTAACCAGGGGCGGCCCAGTGTGTGGACATGAAACATACCTCCCCTTCGCACCACCGTCTGGCTAGAAAAATGGAAACCACCTCTGTCTCCACCCTAATGGGGACCCGAAAGCCACCTAAAGTAACCTCTGCTCCTCCCAACCCTGGAACACCAGGCAGAAAGCTGGCACCCGCCACAGAGAGGGAGCAGCTCCGGAATCTGCAGCCTCTGGGGGCGCACCGATGAGTACACACCTGTGAGGAAGCCACCGGGGGCCGGAGAGAGAACCCCCGGGAAGCAGTAGGCTCGTCCATGCGCAGAACTCACACAGAGCTGGGAACAGCTTCTGCGAGTGCTTAGGTGGGCACTGCCTCGGTGGGAGGCCACTCCGCCTAGAGACGGCTCTGGGTCTGCCCTGAGACTTTAAAAGCAAAACCCCAAGGATCCACCTGAGTCCAGGTAACTATCCAGCAGAACAAGATCCAGCTCCTCTTACCTGAATGCAGAATTCAGCACTCAGCAATGTAAAATTCTGTGTCCCGCACTGCACTAAAAAAAAAAAAAACAACCCAGCCGTCTGCCTAGAATTCTCTACCCAGTGGAAATATCCTCCAGGAATAAAGTAAAAATACTTTTTCGGACAGGCAGGCTGACAGAGCGTGTTGCCGGCAGACCCGCCCGTGAGAAACCCTGAAGGTCTACCGGCAGAATGGAACAGCACAGTGAGGGTCCCCACGAGGAAAGGGGAGCGCTGCGAATGACAGAGGTGCAGACGAAATGCGACCTTCCCCTCATGTTTCGTCTTTTAAAAAATAAAGCAACTTGAAACAAAACTATGTATGCATATGTAAAAACAAAACGTGTGACAACAGCACAAAGAACAGGAGGGAAACCTCCAGTTGTAAGGTTCTCACATGCGACACGGAGCAATACTGCTTCAAGGTAGACTGAACGCGGACTCGAGGTCTGGCCGGAAAAAGCCCAGCCATTGTTGATACAAGGGGAATGGTCTGTACAATGTCAATGTAGCGGGCAGCCAAGGAGAGTGGACTGGAATGCGCGTGTGTGCACAATGACGACTTCACTGTAATAGCCATTAAGTGAGCATGCGTACTGTGTGGTCGTCGCATTCAAAATGACTGAGTGAGTAGAGCAAGGAATCTGCATCAAATTTTGCATAAAGCCTGAACACTCCTCCACAGAAACTTTCTGGATGATCCAGAAGGCAGCAGCTACGGGCACCTGGTGATTGGCAGCTTCATCATGACAATGGGCCCATTCATGCATCATGTCGCATGCAAGAGTTTTTTGGCAAAACATCAAATCACCCAGGTGACTCAGTCCCCCCTACAGCCCAGATGTGGCACCCTGCAACTTCTGGCTTTTCCCAAAATTAAAATCACTTTTGAAAGGGAAGAGATTTCAGACTATTGATGAGATTCAGGAAAATATGATGGGGCAACTGATAGTGATTAGGAGAACAGTGTGAGGCCCCAAGGTGCCCACTCTGAAGGGGACTGAGGTGTCACTGTCCTATGTACAGTGTTTCTTTTATATCTTCAATAAATGTCTCTATTTTTCATAGTACATGGCCGGATACCTTCTGCACAGACCTCATATATCTTCCCTACAGCAAAAAGTAAAAAATAAAGGGGCACAACCAGTAAGCCAATAAAAAGTGCCAGGTTAACCCAAAAGAAGGTAGTAAAAGCAGAAAAAGAAACAAAGAATAGATGAGACAAACAGAAAACAGCTGGAAAGATGGCAGACTTAAACTCAGAACCACCTCACTAATTACACTAAACATAGTCGGCCCAAACACTCCAAATAGGAGGCAAAGATTTGCACATTGGATAAAAAAGCAACACCCAACTATATGCTGTCTACAAACCAAACCCAACCCACTTTAAGTACAAAGACACAGGTTAAAAGTAAAAACATGGGAAAGGATATACTCCCACAAATCAACGAAAGCTACAGCAGCTACATGAATATCACACCAAGGAGATTTCAGGACAAAGAATTCACCAGGATAGCGAGGAACATTTCATAATGGTGGCATGGATCGATTCATCAAGAAAACTTAACAATCGTAAATGGGCATGTACCCAACAACAGAACTTCAAATTTCATGACGCAAAATCCTACCATTATAGTAGGATTTCTACACTCCTCTCTCAGTGACTGAGATGAGGCAGAGAATCAATAAGGATATAGAAGACTGGAGTGGCATTATCAATCAGCTTGAACTAACTGGCATGTTCTATAAAACCGGTCACCAACCACAGCAATTTTCAAGCACGAAAACCTTCACCCACATAGGCTGGCCGTCGGCTGGGCCATACCACAAGTTCAATAGTAAGTTTTAAAAGATCTGAAATACACAAAGCACTATTTCTGACCAAAACAATTACACTTGAAACCAGGGACAGAAACTTATGCGGAAAATCCCAACCACATGGACATTAAACACCTTTCAGGACATGATGGAAAAAAAGGATGGCTAACACCGCTGGATGGGAAACAGACCGAAGAAACATGAGCAAAAGCAAGACCCTTTGAGAGACGTTCACCGTTGTCCAGATGAGCGACGACCGTGTCATGGACCAGTGCCCGTGGGAGGCCGTGAGGGGCCGGTTTCTAAAGTAACCTCTGCTTTAGTGCCGCGTGAGATCTGCGGAGGGATGCATGTGCGGGGGGGCGGGGGGGGGACAGGAAAGACCGCCACCGAGGTCTGGGGCCCGAGCACAACCATCGAAGGTTCAGAGTTGCTGTTTATGAGGCGGAGACCCTGGAGGGTAAGGCTCAGAGGGGGAAGATGGGCAGGAGTTTGGGGAACATTGAGGTGCTTACCAGACCCATCCAAGCAGGAAAGTCAAACACGTAGTTGGCGCCCGGTGCCCCTGGGAGAAACGTGGGCTCAGTGTGTACTTGGGACTCTCTCCATAGATGTCGGACTCCGTGGGGCGGACAGAGTGAGTGCGGGGAGCAGGGATCCAGAAGGGAGCTGCGGGGCATCTCCCGGTTGGAAGTGAGAATGGGAAGCGAGCGACCGGACAGCAGCAGGAGAAGCAGGTCCTGAGTGGTGGGAAGTTTTCAAGGAAGAGGGATCCATTGATCAGCTCACCCAACCCCAATGTGGATCTGAAATTGACCACTGGGTTAGCGGTCCAGGGGGGCTGAGGCTGGGGTGGGGAGTTGAGGAGAAAGGCAGAAAGTGCTAATGGATTTAAGGTTTCTTTCTGGGTTTATGGTAACAGTTGCAAACTCTGAGACTATGCTAAAACCCTCCTTAAACTGTATGATTTAATGTGCAATTTCATCGGTGGTATGGGATTCTATCTCCAAGTCGTTTTTAAACATTGACCACTGGGATTAGCTCGTGGAGGTCACTGCAGATTCCTGGTGCGAAAGCCTGACGGGAAGGGGTCACGGGAGAGTGGGGAAGAGGAACAGAGCGCTGGGCCACCACCGGAGAGAGAACAAGGGGGGTGAGTCGTGTCTGATTTGCCTGCTGTTGGCAAGGACCTGGCAGGGAAGCCAAGACCGACGGTGCGAGGGGATGGCACATCCTCGGGCCGCCCCCGCACAGCCCTGAAGCGTCAGGATGCGGGGTGCCGGCGTGGGAGCCGCCCTCGGGATCGGCACCAGCAGGGAGGGCAGGGCTGCGGAGACCTGAGAAGGCGGGAAGGTAGAGGTGGGGGCTGGTGGCAGCTCTCGTTGCTTCAGCGTTTTCTGTGTTTAGGCAGCGCAGTGGCTGACGCGCTGGGGAAATCAAGCGTGACCACTGGGCAGTGCTGGGACCCGCCTGCGGCTGTCGACGGGAGGTTAAAGCGGCACAGTCGGGGGTCTCCACCAGTCACGGGGGGCGAGGCGGGGCGGGGCGCAGCATGTGGAAGGCTGCGCCTGACCCGGGCCGGGACTACGGACAGAGCTGCATTCGTGAGAAGGAACAGAACCCGGGACACAGTTTACATTGCTGAACACCAATATGCCACTTTATTGTTGGGGTTTTTTCCCATTTGTCACATACCTGCCAATGTTCACACAATGAGGAAAACCAACCCGCAGTGGAAGCAGCTGACCAGATCGGCTGAGAATTCTGTACCCTCTTAACACACACTGATTCTCGCTCGGCAGAAATATCTGAATGCTTGATTCAGTCTCACGACGACTCTTAAAATCGGTGTCAAGATTGTCACATTGTTAAATACAGATAGAATTGCCAGAAGTACATAATTTTTTATATATATATACACATATATGTATATATATACACACACATACAGAAAAGTACAAGAATAATTGTCCACAATATTTAACTTACACACTACTGTTAACTCTATGCAACTTCTGAAGACAGGTTAAGGGGTACAGGGAACCGTTTAGAGCAAGTTAAGTAGTTTGGTCCAATATTATCTTAATGTAATGGTTCTTCGCTCCCTCCCTTTTCTGTGACAGCACACGGTGACACACAACACATGCACAACCGTTCACGTATGAACACATGGAGGAGACGCCACTCAGACGAACTCGTGTGCACCCGGAGGGCCACCCAACCACACACAACTAGTAAGGCTATGTATGATACAGCTGTACGGCGTGGACGGTCAACACTGCCGACTCTAACGAGAGCACCATATATATACACCTGGGTATAAAAAAACCGTTGGAAACTGAACACACATGGGTTAAAAGGTGCCATTCCGAGGCTATACATAATCACAGGAAAAAGTATTTACAATTACTTGGAAAACAGCTGCAACAAAGAGTTTATTGCCAATGCCCTTTTTATAAACTTCTCCCCTACGTTTAGTACAGATGTTACGCTCACGACCTGTGTGAACGAACCACACATCTTGTTTCTGGCCCTTTAGGAGATCCCTGCTCAGGAATTTCAAGCAAACGTGTTCTATGGCTTCACCCACACATCTATTCTTGTAGCTTTCGGTTATAAGTATCACAATGGACTAGAGCTATAGCTTAAAATATTACCTAGCCTAGGTCTAGAAAGTAAAAGATGTGTTTTGTCTCATCTTTACTTAGTTGAGTAAGTATACAGTGAAATCCAGAGTTCTGAGTAAAATACATGAATACTAAAGTAGCAAGATCAGTGTACGCTTGGAGAGACCGTGACCCACAGACCGCCGCCCCTCGGTGCTCGGCCCACTCAGCCACCAGGAGCCAGCTGCTGGGGGGGGGATGGGCGGTGACGCTGGAGGCTGCCGGGGGCGGGACGGCCCCGGGCCCTGCCGCATCCCATCCCCAGGGTGGACGAGCACGGGGCACAGCAGGACAAAGGGGCGCCTGGCCCCTCCCCAGATCAGCAATCTGCGACATACTGTGTCCCACAAACAAAATGTCAGGAAAGGTGATTACCTGGTCAGAAGTAGTCTTTGTACAGGAGCAGTGTAAAGCGAGAGTTCTTGGATTACCGTTGTGGCAGGAAGGCAAAGTGAAAAACACCTCCAGCAGAAAACACACACACACACACACACACACACAAAGCAGGCTTTGTGCATTTTTGTTTGCTTGTATGTGTGACTTCTACCCTTTTATGTGTAATTTCTGATCAGCCAATGTTCATAGCTCATTGAGCTAAAGGATGAGTAAAATAGAAATAGCGAAGGAGACAACCTCATTACCAAACCCCCTAAAACCAAACCCATATGTGCATGTTTCCTAAGTCGATGGGCTTTTGACTTTGTCTCCCTCTGTGTGCGCCTCTGCTTCCGTGTGCGGCCCGACAGCGCCCCCCGCCCCCCTGGTCTTCGAGGAACCCCGGGCCGTGCCCGACACGCGGGAGCTAACACAGAGCGTCGTCGTGTTCTGTTAAACAGACGCACACTCTATCGCGAGAGTTAAGACGTCATCAGTTCACTTCATCGCGTCACAAAAGAAGATTGTCTGCTTGTAATTTACCGCTACAGGGAAAGCTGCCTTATAAATCTAAGTTCTTTATCTCACCTAGTACAAAACAAGAACATCTTTTTCAGTTAACTTTTAAGAGCCCAAACCTTTTTTCACACTATAGCTTAAGACAAACAGGTGTGGGTATGCTGAAATCACGGCTTGAGGTTCTAGTGCGGACGCTGGCTGCACCCGGCTCCGCGCAGGCCCCGGAGGGCTGGCAGGCAGGCAGGCGCCCGTCTGCGCGCGCGGGGGCGGGCGGGCCCCCGGCCAGCCGGCCGCACACCGTTATTGCTTTGGTTCTGTCTCGGACACCGGAGTGTGCCTCAGAGCACGGAGTTTCCGTATCACCGGAAGGTCAGGACAGGAATTTAGATTTTTCAACAAGGAAACAAAAGCCTTTTCTCCTCTCTCTGGGTTAAGTACAGAACATGAAATTTCTAAGTGCTCCACTGACACTGGGTTCCAAATATACAATTTAATTGACTCCTGGTCACCCACATTAAAATCATGAATGTAAAAATAACACAGCAGACTGTTCGGCTGGAAAGGGAAGGTGGTGTCCAGCAGCAGCATGCACAAAGACCATGCATTGTCACGGCGCCAGGCGAACAAATGGGAAAGTAATAAATAACTGCCCGCTGCGGAACAGCACGGCCGGGAAGGACACAGCGAAGGGGCGGTCCTCGCCGCTCCCGGCAGGAAGCGTCCGGCGGCCGGCCCCGCGGTCAGATGACGTGGCAGCAGCTGGCTTGGCTGGAGGCGCACAGCAGCCCCTCTTTAGGGTTCCGCTGGATGTTCACAGAGATGGTCTTTTCGCACAGAGGTAGCTGGAGCACGTTATTTTTCAGGTTCTGGCTCTTTATCCGTTCTAGCTCAGCCGTGCTGGCCGCCACGTGGTCGGAGAAAAACTTGATGCCGCCCACCGCCGGCGCCGGGCCGGCGTTCCCGGCAGAGCTGATGCACATCTTCCACGAGGACTTCTCCTGGACCTTGACGCTGGAGAAGGTCAGGCCGTGCTGCGGGTCGATAATGTACTTGGCGCCCCCGTGCAGCTGGGAGCCCAGGCACAGGCCCATGAGTTTGAGGCTCTGCACCAGCTCCCCGGCACTGCGGGCCGCCAGCTGCGTGGCGCTGGAGTTGGCAGGGCCCGCGCAGCGGCGAGCGCTGCCCGACGTGCCGCCCGGGGCGCCGCCCGAGCCTCCCGACGCGCCACCCCCGCCAGCGCCGCCCTCGCCGGGGCTGGCCCTGTCCGCGCCGCCGCTGCCGGGGCTCGGCTTGCTCTGGCCGCCGCCGTCGCCCTCGCTGCCCGGCGGCCCCTCGCTGCTGTCCCGGCGGTGCCAGGAGTAGGGGAAGCCGCTGTCCTTGTCGAGCCGCCGGCGGCTCTCCGAGTCGTCGTCGCTGGTCTCCGAGCTGCTGCAGCTGGAGCCGCGGCCCTGGCTTTTCCGGCGGTGGTAGCGCTTGTGCACCGTCCCCGGGGACGCGATGTTCATCTTCAACCTGCTCAGCTTGGGCGGCAGGTTCTCATCCATGTCGAACTCGTCGTCCGACTCGCCCTCCTCGAAGATCTGGTTCAGCACCGGCGCGCTCTTCCTCGACGTCAGGCGGTTGGTCACCGAGGGCTTGCGGCGCAGCACCACCTGCGTGGAGAGGGACACGGGCTTCTTGTCCTCCTCGTCTTCCTCCTCGTCCTCTTCCACCCGGAACAGGCACTTCCGCCCGCTGGCCGCGGGCTTCAGGCTGGCCGGCGGCGCCGCGGCCAGGGCCGGCCCGGCCAGCTCGGGCAGGTCGTCCTTCTTCGCCGGGTCACACAGGCCTTTGCTCCGGTGGCCGTTGAGGACGTTGTCGGCGGCCCGCGCGGGCGACTGAGGGACAGTCGCGTGGGACAGCGGCGTGGCCGTGAGGTCGTCCTCCAGGTCCTGGGGCACGTCGATCTTGGTGGGCCACGACTGCCTGCGGAGGAGACGGAAGGAGACAAGACACGTGAGGCCGCGCAGACGGGGCGGGAGCACGTCATGGTGTCAGACTTACTGGGCCAACCCCCCGCTGGCGGCTCTGACACGGGGTCAGCCCGGGGCCTTTGGCCAGAAGAAAAAACCTTCCTCACAGCGGTCAGAAAAGGGGCGACTCTTCTCTACACAGCAGTTTACACCACAAGAAAAACGTTTTTGAAAAGCACAAGGGAGTGACCACCAAGGCAAACCCCGAACACCCACACACTGTCCCTCCGGGTCACGGGGGGCAGCGTGGAAGGCGTGTCACTGCTCATGAAGTTCCCCTGACACGTCCGGTCCCCCGGTGCTGGAGGGCGGTGCCGCGGGCCGGTTTCGGAAAAGTCCGTGGACACAGTTCAGGGAACTTAAATGAGAATACTGAAGAGTGTACACGGGCAGATGTAAATCTCTTCTTTCCCGATTAAAAAATGCAGAAAGCTAAATATAACTATGTCTCATTTACATGTCCACACCAGAGTACTGGATAGCAAAGTCCGCTATTATTTACACTTTAATTTTGTCCCCCCAGATACCCAAGTAACAAGGACACTGCTCGGAAGCCAAAGACAACAACTTTGGAAAATGAGGTCTCGGGCCTGTTTTGAGTAAACATCTTGGAATTCTCAGCTGTCCTCTCTGCCCAGGGGACGAGCAGATGCCAGACACATTTACAACAGCCACTTCCACACTGACGTTTTCATTTCACACCAATTATGTTACCCTAGAAATAAAACCCAATTAAACCTCCAGCTTGATAAAACTCGTAGAAATTCATAGCAGACACCTCTCCCCCAACTCAGGGCCTTGCATCCCCTCTAGGTTGGAGTGGGTCCATTGGGGAACGGACCCACTGGGCCTTGCAACAAGGCCTTGCATCCCCTCGAGGATGGAGTGGGTCTGTTTGCTACGGTCACTCCGTCGTGGTGGCTGATGAAAGCTGAGCATTCAGGGATGTTTGAGTCAAGCAGTGTCTCTGGTCGAGCCGTCTGCCCTCCACCGACGTACCTGCACCAACCCCGTGAGCCCTGTGGTCCTGCAGAGTGGGAGCTGCACACCCACCGCCTGCAGGCCAAGCGGCCACCCGGGAGGTCACCCAGCAGACCCTGGGGGAGCCCTGGGGTGGGAGCCAAGGCGACTGACTCACCGTAGTGGCAGTCAATCCATTCGAGAAGGACGGGTAGGGCTCGGACAGGGAGGGGGCTCACCCCCAGAGCCAGGCCAGGTGAGGGCCAGGCCTCAGCGGTTCTCCGTGCCTCCGCGCCTCTCTCTGACGGGAAGAGGGCACTGAGCATCCCCAGCGTGGAGGTCAGCTCGCGGGGGGCAGAGAGACCGCACCATGCTCCCTCCCACACTGGCAAGACCCAAAGAGTGTCCCTGCGCTGTGTAGCTGGCTCACCCTCGCTCCCCGCCACCCCCCCCCACGCCCCCGCAGAACAAATAACCGCTGCTCTAATCACCGGTCTCCTGACTCAGGACCGGTCACTCTGACCACAGGCACCCTCAGCAGCAGACCGAGTTAGGGCCAGGGCTTTTGCATTAAAGTCACAGTGACGTAAAGAGAGGGCGCGTGAGCAGACACCCCCCCTTGCCACTGGGCCCCAGGCCACAGGAGGACAAAGGCCCTCGACGCATCTCTGCTCCAGAACCCCAGGAGGAGAAAAGTAAAGTTGTGTGGAAGGCTCTGAGACTCCTTTACAGCTACTGCTGGCTCTGCAGGTTCGGGAAGAGAGTAAACTATGCGACCACCTTCAGATTGAGCTCTGTTCTGTCTCACGAAACAGAAAACATCTCAGACCCACCCACTAGTCCCTTCTCCAGAAGCCCAGGGCGGCTTTCGAGCCGGGTGATGCCCCCACCGGAGGGGCTGGCTGGCCCTCGGTGTCCCTTTCCCGGTCTCTCTCAGGCCCGAGTCCCCGGCTCCCTGGGGCCCAGACCCCCTCCATCCGAGCAGGTGCCACACGGCGTGCCTGGTTTCACTACAGAAGAACACACCCAGGACGTGAGTAAAGCTCTGAAGCTCAGTTTCCCGTTCAGACTTCTGACTCTTCAGCCACCGAGAGTAAAGGGTAAAGGGTAAAAGAGGACTCTCCTCTCTTCTCGCTCCAGCCCGAGCAACCACCCGCACATGGCAAGCTGACTGCAAGGAATTTAAAATCCAGCGGTTTGCTTCCTCTTTCAAATAATAATCACACACTCACACACATACACGACACACAGCTGGACGTACGGGGGGAGAATCACGGAGAATCGGGAGCGGCCTTTAGTTTCCGAATCACTGTCGTTCTGTGGGTTCCTTCGTCTGCCTATGAGTCCTAAATAGTTCCCTAACGACGATGCAAACAGTCGCTCTCCTTACGCTTTGGTTTTAAATGGAAAGCTACCGAGGCAGAAGGAGAGAAACTGGGGAGGTGGGAGGAGAGGAAGAGGGCGAGTCCAGGGGAGGAGGGAAGGGGGGGAGACGGTGGTGGTGGTGACTATTCCAGGGATGGCCGCAGGCACAGGGAGCGGGGCTGGACGTCCTCCCCAGGCTTCAGTTCACGGACCCCTCGCCACGCCCCCGGGAGGCAGCCCCCGGGGGGCAGTCGGTGTCAACACTCCCATCGCACGGACCGGCAAGCTGAGTCACCGCGGAACTTAAGTGACCGCCCGGGCCAAGCAGATCCCCATTCGGGGATCTGTCAAACCCCGAAATCCTGAGATGACATCATGGCCCAGAAATGCTTTGTTACTTTAAAAATTCATTTCAAGTAACTGAGGAAAAATCTGGCCTTGCTCCGGGAATGAGAAAATCAAAGGAAGGAATACATGAACCCGTGTCAGACCTAGAGGAGTTTAACGAAATAACCGCAGACGCCCTGGCTGGAGGCCGCCTCTGCAAACGCGCCTTCCCGGCCGGGCCGGCAGCCACGCTGGGCCCTGCAGGGCGGGGCGTCCTCGGGGACGCAGACCCCCCCACCCCGACCCCGGCCACGGAGAGGCCACCGTCACTGTCCGTGCTCTCTCGCGCCAAACAAACAAACAAACAAACAAACAAAGGTCACTATTTCAAAACGTTAACTTACTAAAATCAGTGAAGAGTTTTTTCTCACCTAAACTGGGCCTTGATGTTGCTGGGGCTGGCGGACCGGGTCTGTATCTCTTTCTCCTGCTTCTCCCTCAGGATCCTCTCGGCGAGCAGGAAGTACGTGGCCGTGATGTGGTTGTACCGGTTGGTCTCCAGGGCTCTGAGGGGCACAGGGAGAGTGAACACAAGCACATCAGCAGATTTCTTTACAAGCAGGAGTGGTTTTTCAAAGAAGTATAAGCAGCCCTGGCTGGTGTGGCTCAGTGGTTGAGCACTGGCCTGTGAACCAAAGGGTCACAGGTTCGATTCCCAGTCAGGGCACATGCCTGGGTTGTGGGCCAGGTCCCCACTAGGGGGCGTGTGAGATGCAACCACACACTGATGTTTCTCTCCCTCTCTTTCCCCTTCCCTTCCCCTCTCTCTAAAAATAAATATTTTTTAAACAATAAATAAATAAGTACAAGCAAAGGAAATCCGATGACCTGACATCTTTAAAATTATGAAAGATTACAAACAAGAAAAAAAAAACCCTAGTATTTAGATCACTCTGGAAGTTCTAAAACACAACTGCTAAAGACATTCAGTGAGTGAGAAAAAGCCAAAGTGCAGCGGGCAGCGGGGGAGTCAGTTCCAGGAACCACGGGGCCTCCACGCCGGCCGTCTGCGGGCCGGTGTCTGTGTTCCGGCAGCCGGCCAGCCGGCTGGCCTCGGAAGGATGGAACGAGCTATGTGGATGTGCACCGTGACCCCAATCTGGTCACAGCGATCAGGGAGAGTCTTCACTTTCGTGCTCCCTCCGCATTTATTGGAATTTTAGACACTGACGAACTACCTGTTCACGGAGCTGCCTGCCTGTCACTAGCACCTCCTTCGCTCATCCATGCGCTCGCTCATCCATTTCCAAAGTGGCTCTGAGTCCGAGTCCAGCCCGCAGGCCCGGGGCCGGGAGCTGCTGGGGGCGCGTGGCCCTGCCTGCTCTCGGTCCGGCAGCGGGCCTTTCTGGCCTTTCCGGGGGACAGCGTGAGAACACGGCAGGACCCACGAGGCCCAGAAACACACACCTGAGCTGTTCAGGAACTTCCCGTGCTCGGTGGAAATACACGATGAACATGCAGGAGAGAGGCAATACGGGCTGTTCTCAACATGTGCACAGGGCGGCAGCTCGACAGGGGCAGGGCGGGCTGAGCCCAAGATCCCCGAGAAAGAGGCCAGGGTGAGCCAAGGCATGCGGCTCTGAGCACAGGCAGCACTCGCAGAGGAGGAGGTGCCCCCCCCGGGGGGCAGCCCAGGGCCCCCCACCCCACCCTTGGGGCACATGGTGTCTCCTGACCCACACTGTGGCCACTCCTTTTGGATTCATGACCGACCTGACACGAATTAAACAGCTCTACGACACCACGGCAGGTATTTATTTAAGCTAAAATCACTGAGCCGATTCACGGAGACAAAAATAGCCTTTCATCCCTGCAAAAACAAAGAACTGTTTTCTGCACATTCCTGAAGTGCGTGTCCTTGACAAGATATCCTTTCCCTCGTGCCAACTGCTTCAACGGGTTTAGTAACTTTTGACTTTTCGTTTGTGGGAATGTTTCGCATTTTTATAGACAAAGACAGACCTCTCACGGAAATGAATCACTGTTAAGACAAAGCAACTGCATCTTACCCTTGATTCCGAACTTCTTAGGGTATTAAAAAGAGGTGGTTCCTAAACATCTTAGGTTATAAAGTCCTTCCTTGGTGTTAAAGGACTTAATGAACAACTTGCGAAGCTTACGGGTCCTGGGTCATGGTAGCAGGGGCGCTTACGGACCGGAGAGCAACTATGTTAGGCTTTGTGGGTGGTGTGGTCTCTCTCACAGACGCTCTGACGTGGCCGCACAATATAGCCATGGACACACTAGGAGTGAATGGGCATCACCGTGGCCCGGTACCCCTGCACTTACACAAATGTGGCACCGGCCCCACACACCAGCCCCTGACTCAGGGGACTCGAGGTGCTGCCTCCTTCCCGCTGCCCACTGCAGGAACTGGGGGGTGGGGGGGGAGGACACAGGAATGAAGGGGCACTACTCTATGGACAAGGCAGATGCCGGGGTCCAAGGCAGGCTGTCCTGACGCGCCCCGGCAGGAGGGGGGAAAGGCCGCAGCCCTCGCTGACACGCCCTTGGTCGCGACCACAAAAATAAAAACAGAGACATGAACCCTGTGAGCCAGGCCCTGGGCCGGGAACTCCAGAGACAAACGACAGAACCCTGCCAGCCAGGACCGCTGCCCACGACCAGTGTCCACAGGCCCTGGCAAGGACAGAGGGGCCGTTCCAGAGCCCTGACCGGCGGCCGGCCCCGCACACCGGGTGGCGACCTACTCGACAATGGCGTCCCGGTCCGCTATGTCCCCGAGCACCATGCGCTGAATGATGCTGTTGTGCTCCTCCTCCGAGAGGTTCTTGTACGACACCAGGGGGATGTTGTACTTGGTGGCGGGGGAGGGGTCCACTCCCTGAAGCCACGGGTGGTTTTCGATCTCCTCCAAGGAGGCCCTCCTCTTGGGGTCTCGCTGCAGCATCCGGGTGATCAGGCTGCGGGGGAGGGGAACCCATCGTTACAACAAGCACAGGCAGTTCTTTGAAAAAGACAAAGTAACAAATCTCAGGCAAGAGACAGGCATAAGAGAGGGCGAAACGCGTCAGCAGTGGGATGAAAAAGGGCGGCATCCCCACAACGTAAAAAGATGAGGGTATTAGAAATACTTTGAAAATCTGGGTAAAATGAACGAGCTTCTTGAAAAACATAACTTAGCAAAACGGACCCAGGAGGAAGCGGAAAACCGATCGGTCCTATGATTATCACAGTTCCTCCGAGAGGGAGACACAGAGGCTTCTATGCTATTAGAGCCGTCCCATTTCTTAGGCTGGACACCAGGGGCAGCGGTGTTCATTTCACCGCAGACACGTTCCAAACATGCCTGTGAATAACGTACTTCAGTACGAAAACAAGTTGAGGTCTCAGTGTCTCAGCAGGGGCGGCGGGCCGCTCCCGGAGCTACCAACAGTGCGCGTGCGCACCACGTGCACCCGGCTTCCCGGGGTGCGGGGTCGCGGTAGTGCGGGCATCAACGTCGCCATCGCCAGTATTCGCACCGAGTGCTTCCTCTGGCCCAAGGACCGAGCGAAGAGCATTATAGACACTAATTCACTTTCAGAAGAACCTAAAAGGTGGGCTCTGCCATCCCCACATCGTTGGTACAGGGAGAAGCTGGTGTTCGAGCCAGAAGAACCTAAAAGGTGGGCTCTGCCATCCCCACATCGTTGGTACAGGGAGAAGCTGGTGTTCGAGCCAGAGAGTCTGAATACCGGGTGCTGGGCAACCCACCACACGGCCGAAGGTGGGGCTGGCGGGGGCGGGGGAGTTCTTCAGGCTATCAGATTTCCTTCTCTCTTTTCTAATTACAACGGACACCCAGTGTTGCATTAGTTTCAGGTGTACGGCACAGTGGCGAGACATTCATATAATCACAAAGGGATCCCCCTCAACAACTCTAGTACCCACCCGGCCCCATACAGTAACTCCAGCTGATGGGGGAAACTCAAAACTGTGTTGCTGCAGCAAAACCCCTCAGTGCAGCAGCTACAATCTCAGCTGGACGCATTAGAAACATCACCCGTGATGTCGGTGAAACAGTGAACTCCCCACGGCCCCTTCGTCCATGGAGGTTCGCACCATGCGCATCACAGGACCGCGCAGTACTTTCGTTCCACATAAACCAGCCCGAGCGTGTTCTGGTTGCTGGCTTGTGCAGTCCCGCACACCAGAATAGAGCTCTGCACTCGGCTGCGGGGAGGGGTGTGCGCATAAAATTACGAGGCGCTGTGCACACCCGAAAACGGTGTGCCGGGGGTCTACAGACTCTTCCCTGGAGCTTAAAACAGCTCCGCACGTGGCTGTAGGTTTCGCTGCTGCAGTTCAAGGGACAGTAGCCCCCACTCCTAGAGACGGAAAGAGGCATAGGAGCGTCTTAAAAACTGGCACACTGAAGAAATACATTGAAATGATACATCCTATACCCTGAACGGTAAATTCCAAGTCACGCTCTGGGGCCAACTGCCCCACACACACCGAACGAGAGCAGAGAGACCAAGTTCAGAAACGCACGCGAGCCCCCACACCTGCGTGCTTCCCGCCACTTACTCTTTACACTCTTTGGACACGTGAGCCGGGACCGTGTACTTGCAGTCCATGATCATGGTCAGCGTCTCGCTGTCGTTGGCCTCCTGGAAGGGCGGCTGCCCGCACACCAGCATGAACAGGATCACCCCCAGGCTCCATATATCTGCGGACCAGAGACACCCTGTTAGACGTGGGACTGGTCAGAGCCCCCCAAACACCCGAGTAAACACGGACTAACGGGATCGTGGTAGTTTGAACAACTGAAAGCACGTACACCTCAAAGCACGAAAACCTAGTGGAGGGGGGTGGGGGGAGCCCAGCCCTGGGAAGCGGGGGCGGTGTCCACCCCGTTCACCGTTGCTGCGGTCATGTCAGGCCCAAGCACGCGCCAGCGGGCATGAAGTGGAAGGTCAGAGAGTGTTTCACGGAAGGCGAATTCATTCACTTGGGAACAGGCAGAACATCAACGGGAAAGCGCCCGTCCAAGGCTCCCAGGCCGACGGACAGGCGCAGCTGCTTCCCGCTGCATCCCATGGCAGAGAGAGCACTAAGGCGCAGACACTCTGAGGCAGGAAAAGGGTTTTGCCTGAGGTCGCAATGATCTCAGCTGTTCTTTACCTTGATCCTGGTGAGTCGACCGGATGGGGAATTCACTTTTTTTTAAGATTGTATTTATTTACTTTTAGAGGGAGCGAAAGGGATGGGAGAAAGAGAAGGGGAGAAACACTGATAGGTTGCCTCTTGTACACCCCCTTCTGGGGACTGAACCCACAACCCAGGCCTGTGCCCTGAGCGGGAATCCAACTGGCGACCTTTTGCTCTGCAGGTTGATGCCCAACCCACTGAGCCACACCAGTCACGGCATTTTGTAGAGGAAAAAATTAGAGCTTGAAGGGGAGAGAAATATTCCTGGGTGGTCAATGGGGGAAAAGACGGGTTATTATTTTGGTTATACATTATTTGAGAGGACAGAGCTCCGACCGTAGGTGTAAGTAACCAGAAGGCACACTTTGGCTTTAAAACAGCAGGACCTCGTTGGTAAAGCTGTTAAAACACTGGGAAAGGTAGTGAGTTTCCCGTGACTACAAGTATCCCAGCAAAGGCTGGGCGACCATCTGTCTGGCCCTCTGCAAGAGGCACGCCCACACTGACTGTAAGGCCGGCCTCGGTGACATCTGAGGCCCTGCCCAACTCCAGTAACAGACTAACTCCTTCCATGACAAATAACCCCTTACTTCTTGCTATTGCATAAAAAGCAAAGCCATCTGTCAGATGGAAAAACAATGTCTTTTTCAGATAAAAAAGCATAAATCCACTTAGGAAAGGGATCATATGAATTAATTCGCTCCAAAAACTGAAGCAGAGACAGGACTACGTAAGCGTTCACACAAGAGATAAACTCGAGACGCCCAGGCCACAGGCGGCTCGGGGGAGAAGAGAGGGCAGGCCGCGCGGCCCCGCGACCACCTCTGTTAACACTCAACCGCCGTTTTCGTTTGGGCTTCGACACCTCAAGTAATGTAGGTCCCATGCTGCTTTCCAAGAGAATTAAAACTTGTTAATAATAAATATACCTTTTCCTTCGTCCAAACTAAACAAGGGAGTAATAAAGGCACAAACCCAAAAGTTATACACACTGCGATTTTTTTTACGTACAGTAAATTTTACTAAGGATGCTCCAATGGAAATTAGCGCAGCAGATGGGAAAACCGACGGATATTAGACCGTTTGTGCAAACGAGGATGAAAGGGACTGAAGGCTCACTCAGTCCGAACCCTCGGCCCTGCCGCGTCCCGGGGCCGTGTGCCTGGCACCGCGGGCCGGACACACGGATCGGGCCGGACACACGGGTTGCCGGCCCTCCCACCCCGGGGCAGCTACCTGGCTCCGCGCGCCACCCCACTCACGGACTCACGTTTCTGTGCCTGGACCTGGGCGCGCAGAGGCCCACGCCCATTCCCAGCCCAGCCTCCTGAGCGACGGTGGCGGCCGGCGGCCCCTGCTCCTTACCGTCCAATGGCAAGAATGTATCACCCCGACGGCACCTTGTTAAGGCTTTTAAAGGAAACTTATACAGGTTGGTGTCTGTGTACGACTTGAACCTTCTATTTCTGGTCACCAGCCCTGACCCCCTGAGAACAAGCGGCAATGACGACCACCCTCCCTTGAATGCACTGCGCCCCTCATCTGACAGAACGGCGTATTCTGGAAAGCAGCCGTGATGGAAACCCGCCTCCGCAGCCACATTCATCACACAAGGACGGGTTTTTCCCCAGGTTTTCCACCGAGTCCCTAATGCATGTTAGCACACGGCCATGTCCTCCCCAAGGAGGGAGATTTTAAATGACTTACCACAAAAGTGCATGAGCATAAACATCAGGGTTACAATAAAATTTTTCTTTTGTTAAAATACTGACGATGTCTAACACGACTTACTACTATATCTACACCTAACCGTGAATATGTACTGTACTTAAGGTACGATCAATTCACACCGTTCCACATACATCCTACAAAAGCACTTTTTATACAATGAATTTGGTTACATGATCTCTTTTACCACCTCGCACTTTAACTGTGGATAAAATACTTCATTTTTTTTACTTTGTCTTTATGCTAAACTGGAGGTGCTATCTGACAGGCAGTTACAGAAAACCGATGGTTTAAAAATACGATGAATAATAAAAACATCAACGAATGAGTTCCCCAAATCCTTATTTGGTTAAAGAAAATGTTCCTTGTCTGTTAAACATTAACCTCAACAGCAACAAGGAAGTCCAATCGCTTGGAAATGTTCTCTTCAGGGTCACTAGCCCCAGCAGACCAGCTCCCTCTGCTTGTTAGGAAGCGAGGCACTATGGACTGAAGAGCTAAAGAACAGAACCGAAGAAAACACTTAAACGCTGTCTCCAGTTAGCGCCCAAGCAACCTCCGAACCTGGGAGCGGGGCGGGACCCACACAGCAAACTGGGAAGCCAGCGCCCTCGCTAACAGGCCAGGGCTCCCTCCAGAAGGCCAACGACCCTCTCTCTCCCTGGGAGGACATGGGGGGCCGCTGATTCCATCTCCTTATGCTGCAAACTTTTCATTTCTCTTCGTGCTCTGCTTTTTGTCCTTGAATCATTTTATGTTTTCATGCTCAGGGCCAAAGGAAAGAGACAAAAGGTGTCCCTGAATGCACACAAAGAGGCGTGACTTGAACCACGTTCAGTGAAAATGGGTCCCGGTCTTGAAAGTGGGGATGGTAACAGCCACCTACTTCCTCCTAAAGCTGCTGTGGGTGTGGCAGGGTTGACATGGAACCCCGGCTAAGTCCTGGGGCAGAGCCCGGCACCCAGGGAGCGTGCTGGGGAGCTGCCGCTGCCGCTGCCGCCACCACCCTGCTCCCGTGCACACGGGCCAGGCCCGGGCGGCACACACACGGAGACAGGCGCCCCTGCCCTCCCAGAGCCCCAGTTCACTGCGGGAAACAGAAAGGGGGAACAGAAGCAGGAAGCGGGGAAGCGCAAGAAGGCACGAAGCCAACAGAGAGAAGGAAAACTCATACGGACGGGAGAGAGGAACAGGGGAGGCACTTCAGGGGCACAGGCGGGCAAAAATAAAGAGGTGACGACTCAGGAGCCGGGGTCTCCGGGACCAGACCGCTGGTACCACAGGGCTGACAATGGCACTGGGGTCACCTATTACATTCCCCACAAATGGGGGAGGGAGGTGGTACTTGTCTTAATAAAAAGTCATTTTAGTGAGTTTTTAATTATCTTTTCCATTAAAAAAAAAAAAACATTTGCTAATAAGACTCCAAACTACCCAAGTATAGACCATGCTTCATCCGAGACCCCAGGACCACAGGGACCCCTGAGTCTGCCCCGGGGGTGGGTGGGGGCGGGGAGGCAAAAGGAAGAGCATGGCACGAGGGCTTCACATTGTCATCCTTTTTAAAAAATGTCTCGGGGACGCTCTGTTCACCATGAAGGCACACAGGTTACTAGACCTCAACCCCCTGGGAAATCAGACTTAACGTTGACACTGCTGGAAGCTTGTTTTGATTTCGGAGCTAGCTGTAGACCGCCGGTTAATAAAAATGGAAAAAGAAACTATCACAATAAATAAGTACAGTTTCTGTGGTTAAAGGAAGAAAACCTCCCAACCAACCCGTGGGACTGTGGGAAGGGGTGGGGAGACAATGAGGTCTTTGTTCACAGAAAGGGTGGGCGCTACTGGTCCCCCAAACTGGCGCCCGAACGAGCTGGGCAGAAGACCACGGAGGTGAGGCCCGGAGGCGCACCTGCCGACATTCGGGATTGGTCCAGTCACAGGGCGACCGAACTATGCTATTTCCAGTGTTAGGGGTGGGGCTTCTGGTACAAAGTTCCTTTTACGCAGACTAACAAAAGATCACCGTGAAAACAGAAGAACATGCTAATGATTAATATGAGGACAAGCAATTGTCAAAGGGAGTGGGGTGGGAGAATGTCGTGACTAAAAGTCATTTCCGAAGTGAATGAGTGAAAAGAAGGAACAGGGTTTAGAAAGAAATCAAAGTGGGAAGACTGGCAGTGAGGTTTTAGGTAGAAGCTTGTATTTTTGTCTCTTCTCAGTGCAGCCACACGTCATAGGAGAGGCCACAGCAACGGAATGTTCTAGCACCACTACAGACGAAGCTGGGACCAGCAGCTTCCACCCCCGGCAACCAGCAGGGTCTACGCAGCCACTCTTCAGTTCCAGCTGTGGTCACCAGCAACCGGCACGTGACCCACACTAATCTCAAAGGCGTCGAAGAGCAAGGGCTACGCTGTGGACATGCATGGGCCCCTGGGTTTCTAGGATAAAACCTGGGACTTCTGTCCCTTGTACGATACTCAGATAAACCTAATGTCCACAGTCTGCCACTGTGAATTCCTGTCCACAGGGTAAGAACCACTCAGCCGCAGGCAAACCGGCGAGAGCTCGGTTCCTAAGGTTCTTTCCGAACCAGACCAGCGTTGGTGCTACAGACACGACTGCAGACCCTTCTGGAAGGAGAGAACGTCAGGTCGCCCGCACGAAAGGTGCCAGGGTGACGGCAGAGGAGGCACGGAGCATCCGGCACGCCCCTGCTTTAGGATGTCTCCCTCTGTCCTGCTTTAGTCAGCATCTGAGTTAGAAGCAAAGTTTTATTACTGA